TGTTCCCCTAATGTCCAGATGATGGAGGTTAATTAAGTTCCCAATTTCCACAGGAAACTTTGAAAAGCTTCTACAGTTGAATAACAACAATGTCTGTAACTGGAGGAGGAAAACTATTGATTCAGGTAGACTTTGTATCCTAGTTTCAGACAAATTAATGTACTTTAAACATTTTAAATCTCTGATTGAATCTGGTAGTTTTCTTATACAATAACCTTGAAGAGATAATGCCCTTAAGCACCTTAATTTTGGTATCCAATCAAGCACCACTGTCTTTGATAAATAGCACCCAGCAGCTTTTGGATTAGCAGGAATCATCGTCCGTAAACTCTTCATTTCATTCAAAACTTTGAATTTCTCAGAGATATCATAATCACCTTGGTAGAATGATAAATGACGGACCTTCTCAAATTTCACTTTAGATTTCTTATCAACCTCCAACATATTTTGCAGGTTGTGGCATGTTCTTCCAGCAACAAATTGAGCTAAATCATGTATGAGATCATGCATTACATACTCTAATTCATTCTCGCTAGACTGCTGAAAAAATGATCTTGAAAGTAACTCACGAAAATATAGATGCCCAATTTCTTCCAATCTATTTTGCTCCTCCAGTTGTTGTTGCAAGAGTCCCTCTGCCATCCACAACATAACTAACTCATCCTCCTTAAATAGGTAGTCTTTAGGAAACAAAGCACAATGTGCAAAACATTGCTTTAAATGAGAAGGAAGATCATGGTAGCTTAGCATCAAGGGTGGCAGAATCCCACTTTTGCCTAATTGCAAATTCAACAATTTACTGTTTAATATGTGTTCCCAATCTTTAACTTCGAGCTTACCACATAAGAGGCCCCCTAGGACTTTGGCAACCAATGGCAAGCCATTGCACCTTTTAGCAATTTCTTCACCAACTTCTTTCAAAATTGGATGTGCATCAAAGTTCTCTTCTCCTAAGGCATGCTGAGCTAAAATTGGCAAGCATTCTTCAAATTCTAATTCTTTTAGCCAGTGAATCTTGCCTTTCCCACCCATAATTACTGCAACACGCTCATTACGAGTTGTGACTATTATTTTGCTTCCAGCTAATCCTGATTTGAAAGGTTTTTGTAGGGTCTCCCATTCTTGGTAGACGTCATTCCAAACGTCATCTAGAACAAGAAGAAACTTCTTACAAGATAATTTTTCCTTCAATTTTTCTTGAAGCAGATTAAGATCCTTCGAATCACACTTGTCATTAGATACTGCCTCTAAAATTGTTCTTGTTATGCGCAAAATATCAAATTGATTGGAAACACAAACCCAGACTTTAGTTTCAAAGCTTCCCTCCTTCACCCCATTGTAAACAAGTCGAGCCAATGTTGTTTTCCCAACACCTCCCATTCCAACAATGGGAATTACAGAATATCCTTTATCATTGCCTCCGTCATTGTGCAACTCTCGAAGAATATCCTCTTTATCACTCTTCCGACCACAAACATAAGAATCAGGCAGAGAAGTGGTGATCCTTGATGCAGCCACTCTGTTGGGCTGCTCTCCAGCTTGCACTCTTAAACTCACTAGGCCAAGTGTGATGGATGTGTCAGCCAAGTTTTTCAACCTCTTAGAAATATCCTTCACCTTAGAAATGGTTTCAGAATCAAACATGAAATCATTGCCTTTGAAACAAGAGAAGCATGTTGCTGGGATAAATCTGCTGCTGCTGCCTTGTTGAGGTCTTACTATCAAGGTGCTCTGAACATCCACACCAGCCTTCGATTCCTCAAAAATGTCATCTATATCATAAGCCAAGTCCTTAAGATCATCAAGCCAGGCCTTCACGAAATTTTCATGGAGTTGCTTCTCTTCTGCATCTTTGAGCAAGCCACGGAGTTGCGGTACCAAGGTCCTCCATTTTTCCAGATCGGCATGGATCTCTTCCTGCAATCGATGGGAATTGCTGGAAATGAAACCATCCAACTTTTGGAGCATCCAATCAAAAGTCGCTGACAAAAGAGGTTGAGCAACCATAGACAGGACTTCCATTGTGTTGGAACAACTAATTTGATCTGAAAGAATGAAATAAATATGTGAAATTATCATCCACTTCAATAGATCATAGCAAAGGTAAATACTACTACTAATTTTTGCTTTTGCATGATGGGCGTAAATACTACTACTAATAATAATATAAGTATTGACGTTTCATAATCTGTTTAAACTTTAAAACAGGGTTGGAGTTTTATGCTGGCTAGAGAAAGATATAAAGAGAATTTGCATTGGAGAAGAAGCAAAGAATTTAAAGTTAGGCAATTCAAACTCAACCATTACTGGTACAGGGAGTTGGTGTAAAAAAAAATATGAGATGGGTGCTACTGCTAACCAAGAGAAACAAAAATAGAAGTAAAAAACAAATAAATTTACCTTTGCCTTTCGTTGTACCTCTGAAATGGTAACTCTGAGTGCAGATGCTTTTGAACAAGAAGACTTTCGTTGTTGTTTTTTTTATTTTTTTGGTGGAGTAGCTGGAGAAAGATGAAGAGAGTTTGGAATGGATTGAAGTCGAAGAAGCAAAGAATTTGAGATTAGGCAACTTAAACTCAACAGTGCTGATACTAGGAGTCGATGCTAAAGAAGGATCCAAAGGTCGAGGGTACCTGGTGCATAGTAAAATAACAAAACCATAAGACATCCGAAAAGGCTGAACCCAAAACAAAGTATAGGCATGAAATTATTGCTCATCCCCTATTCTACTACTCTCTCAGCTTTTTTAGTTCTCTCATTTTGATTTTGGGCTACACAATTATTGAAGTACCTTTAAAAAAAAAACAATAATATTTATGGTTCAAAATACTTGATGAGTTTTTTTTTTTTGGAAAAAGATTAAAAATGTATTAATTTTATATTTTTCTCAATCATTGATATTAAAAAATAAAAATTGATTTTAATTGTATCAATCACCAATTAAAATTATACAAATTAAAAGCATAAGTTAGACAAATTTATAGTACTTCGTTAACTCCTAATCATTCTACTCCCTCTCTTTCAATTTAATAAACATTTTGATCGAGAAAGTGTTTTTACACGTTGCGTTTCAATAAATAATTAATGGATCATTAATTTTCTTTTTCCAAATTTACCCACACCAACCCATTAATTGAAGGCTCTATTTTTGAGTTAGTGTTGATAATATCAAAGGGGTAAAATTATAACTTTAATTTAAAGTTATTAATTTGATTTCTTTAACATGTGTGAAACTACATGCAACGTCAATTAAACGAAAACAAAGGAAGCAACTCTCTAAGTGGATCGAAGATAATTATGTTTCGATCCTTATTAACAAAGGGAATATAATTGTGTTACAAGTCTTAAGAAGAAGCAAATCAATGTTGAGTATTCGCGCAGAAGAACGCAGATCCGAGATGTTCTAAAGTAACCATATACAAGAAATATAAATATGATATAATTATGTTTATACTTTATATAACATGTTAAATTTTTATTTAAAATTAATGTCTCAAAAAAAATTAAAAGATCAACATAGCACTACTAAAATTAAATAGAGGTAGTAATTTCATTTTTGCCAATATCGTTTGATCGTTTTCATGTTAGTTTTTCTAATAAAATTATTTTAAGGAGATTAAGGTGAATTGTATTGAATAATTACATTAGAAGTGATTGAGTTATTTGTAACTAAAATAATTTCATGATATTGTAAGTCTTAGATAAAAGGCAACAAACCAGTATTAATGAGAAGGTTGCAACTCTCTCTGAGATGTTCTACAGTAATAGGTATAAGAAGCAAAAATATATGGAGATAAATTAGAAGCCTAAATATATAATATATTTACGTACATACCTCCCTTGCCTTAAGCTTTGCTTCTGAATGCTAACTGGATCGGATCAGAATATGCAAGTGGAGATGCGTTTGAACAAGAAAATTTTGCAGAAAAAGAATATCCGAAAGACGAGAGTCTTAAACTGGAAAGATCGATGAAAGAGAGTGAGAATGGGTTGGGATGAAAAAGAAGAAGGAAAGAATTTGAAGGAAGTGGGTGACTCAATAATGCAGGGGTGTTGATGATCAAAAAGGTATGGACATCTTTCCTGGAAGGTGCCTGCATAGACAAAGACAAGTCAAGGCGGGAAATTAGTGGTAAAAAGGGATCCAAAGTTATATACTGGTTCATTTAACTTCTTGGGTAATATATTTATAGATGATACTTTTTTTATAATAAAGTATATAAATAATGTAATTTATTTTTTATAAAAATAAAAATACTTAACAAGAATTATTTTATATAATTTGATTTAATTGTTTCAATTTAATTTCTATATAAAGTTTGATCATATATGAAAAATTATTCATATAAGTTATTAATTTTTTTTTGAAATTTAT